TCTCGTGCCGGATACCTCTGCTGGCACAGTATGCTGCAAAAGCATTGGAAATATACTCGCCTCCATTGTCTGTGCGAAGACACTTCAACTTCTTCCCAGTCTCTCTTTCCACCATTGCATGGAACTCCTGAAAGTACTGAAATACCTCATCCTTTGTCTTCAGGAAATACACCCACAACTTCCTTGATGCATCATCAATGAAAGTCAGAAAATACTTGCGGCCACCATGTAACTCCATGTCGATTGGGCCACAAACATCCGAGTATACCATATTGAGCACTTCTGTTTTCCTCTTCCTCGTTGAACTGAATGATACTCGATGTTGCTTGCCATAAAGGCAATGATCACAGGGCTTCAAGACACTCCCTTTGGATAAGGGTATCCTAGATTGCTTTGCCAATAGATGCAATCCCTTCTCACTCATGTGAGCCAGTCTTCTGTGCCATAAGTCCGGTGACTCCTTGTCTTCTGCTGCATTAAGACTTTCCAAACAGATCTTCATTTGAGTTTTATACAGTGTTGAAGACATCTCTCCTCTGGCGATTGTCAAAGCTCCTCCTGTTAGCTTCCAACAGCCATTTCCGAATGTACTTGTATAGCCCTGTCGGTCCAGGGCGCTTCCGGAGATAAGATTGAGGCGCAAATCTAGAACATGCCTCACATCTTTGAGAACCAGCTTGTTCCCGACATTACACCAAAATTCAAACATTTAATGATTCCTTGGCTTGAATTAGAGACTACTCAGACATGTAGCGTAAAATTTTTTTAGTTGTCTTGCTTTCTATTTTCTTTTCTTTTGTTTATTTTTTATTTTTCCATTTATGTTGAAGGCTCTTGGGCTCCATATATTATTCATATTTTAATAGAGATATTATTGTAAAGCTTACAATTCAAGCTGTATTATGCTATTTTCAAGGATTGAGGGATAGATTCAATACTTCTATAGAAGGGAATGAATTATGATCACCTTATAATTTGGAAGTATTTTTTTTTGGGTTCCTTCTTCCTGTAATTAGATTAGGCTTTCCTCTTAATTTTTGGCATTTGGGTTTGATTTGTACAGGAATAATCTTAGGCTCAGTTTGGATGTTAGGAATCGTGAGGGAAATGGGAATGTGATTACATGTCCCTATGATTCCAGTGTTTGTAATGGATTGAAATAAAAAATGATTGTTGATTACCCACTGAAGTAAAAAATCACTTTTCTAAACTATAGGAATTTGATTACCCCGCTCCCCCAATGGGAATCTCACATTCCTGGAGGAATGTTGACCATTTGAGAGTTAGAAAACAAATAAAATTGGGCCCATAATATTTAAAATATTATCATTTTCCCATAGAGAATTCCTATAGAAACTAAATGCTTAAATAACATTGACACACATGAATTTTATTATTAGTAATGAGATTTCTAGTGATGAGATTGTCATTCCCCCTTAGGATTCCTGCCATGGTAATATAGACTTACCTCATTAAAAAAATGTATTTTTGCCATTCATATTTTGTTTTCTAGATGTACAATATGTCAATGGCATTTGGGCTATACAATAACAATGAGATATGTTGTGTAGAATAAAAATGGGAATGAGATGGAAAAGTTCCTTTCCTTGGAGGATCAACTCATGTTTATGAAGGAAAGTGGTACCACTGCAAGAGGAAATGAAGCTAAACGGGCAAGGAGAAGCTATGCTGTTAGGTTTTTATTCTTGGCAATCCCGTTTGACAAAACTCCTTTCAGTTGTACTTATTTTCACACTTTTTATTTCAGTGAGGCTATGAGTTTTTAGATGCGAATCCAACCCGAATTGTGTCTTGCAGAGAAGTTTTGTAATGTTAATTCTTTCAAGATTGCCACTTCGCTGATTATGACGGGGATCGAGCTGCTCGGTCAGCTCGCGGGGGTCCAGGGGGCAGCGCCCAGGCGGGGTCGAGGGGCAGCGCCCCCGAAGCGAAATACAAAATTGTATTCGAAGTTGCATGTCCACCCTTGCTCGCTCGAGCGAAGGAGTCCTTGCTCGCTCAAGCGAAGGAGTCCTTGCTCGAGTGAAGATTGCGTCTGGCAAAAATCCTAAAAGAGATGAATGTGCGCTCGAGCGAAGCTTGCGTGGCTCGAGCGAAGCCACTTATGGAAAATACGCGTTTTTGGTTCCTCGCTCGAGCGATCAAGCGAGAGAGTCTTTGCTCGAGCGAGCATCGCGATTCAGATTTCTATAAGTACGTGTTTCTGTCAGATTTTAGGATTACTTCTCCAGATCTTCTTCTTGGGTTCTAGGGTTTATATATGGGTATATTTTGCTAGTTTTCTTTGATGTTTTGATTGAGTATTCAACTCATGGTTTAAAGAGTATACATCAAAGGATTATTTGTTTGTTCTACACAAAAGAGAGAGTTGTTCTTCGGTGGATTCTGAAGAATTCGAGCCTGAAACTTTGGTGGATTCTAGAGTGGCTCATGGTCAAGACAATTCTAAGGTAAAGACGGGGTTGGAAGAGGCACATAGAGGTTGGTTCAATTTGGGCGTGGATTCGCTAGGTAATTGAGAGTATACCTGTGTAATTCTTTTATATCTTCTTAGTGGATTGTTTTGTGGCTGTTGCTCGTGGTTTTTTTTATCACAATTAGAGGTGTCTAATTGTGGTTTTTCCACGTAAAATCGTTGTGTCTATTTGTCTTGATTGTTTGGTTAGGATTGTTATATACTTCTTAAAATTGCTACATAATCACAAATCAACATCTAGGGAATTTCTAGATGTTTCATGTGCAACTTCGAGTTCTCATTCATTTGAAGCACGTTACCATGTAGGTATTTTTTTTATAGTGCTTTTTGCATTTCTAGTGAGTCAAATCTATGTAGCATAAATATAGATACGGGAAACTGATAACACATGACATGAACCTGCCGAAATCTTAAAAAGGGACACTATATGACAAGTAACAACAACATATTGCTATATTTGCATACATACATATATATTCATATGTTAGAAATTTTCCATTGCATACTTTATGTTGGTCAGTGGCCACACACACGATGTGTTCATATTAGAAATGTTTCAAAAATCATATTTGGAGTGCACTACTTGCATTCTAAAGAATGCCAAACATTGTTACTATTAAGAGATTTTCCACATAGGTTGCATCCATGAAGTTCAGAGAAGTGTCGTTGAAGTGTTTGCGAAATGTTTGGAGTGCACAAGTTGCATTTAGAAGAATGCCAAACATTGTTACTATTTAGAGATTCCATATAAATTGCATCCATGAAGTTTAGAGAAGTGTTGTTGCAGTATTTGCAAAGTGTTTGAAATTATGAAATTTATTTTTAACTTAAGACACATTTCTAAGGGTGCAATTATGAAATTTATTTTTAACTTAAGACATTTCTAAGGGTGCTCAAGGAGTTCAGTGTCGACAACATGTTCTCCTCCTTATAAGTGCCCATGATTCTTAGATTAGGATGTTTCCTATTTTTCGTTCAATTGGTTTAAGCGAAAAAATACTTTTTCAAAAAATGTTTTTGGTAGAAAACATTTTCTTATGTTTGGTTGCAACGTTGAAATTAATGTGCTAGTAGTTGTGGTAGTAGTAGTGTTGTGGTGGTAGTGATGATGCTGGTAGTGGGATGGCAGCAATGAGGTGGTGACAACAGTGGTGGTAGTAGTAGTGACAGTGGTGGTAGTGTTGGGAGGGTGGTGGCGCTGGTAAGACCTTAATTTAGAAAACATTCCGTACCTTTCAAAAGTGGAAAATGTTTTCGGCTTATATAAGTTTATTTTTTGTTGAACTTGAAAATTATTTTCCATTGACTTTGGTTTCCCATCATACCAAACGCCAAAAAATATGAAAAATGTTTTTTGCCAAAGCAAACAGAGCGTTATTGAAAACATAATCAATGCTAAATTTCTTATACGAGACTAGAATTCTTTAGGTTTCACTCCCCAGGGTCTGGGTTGCAGCACATAGATTCTGGAAGCTTAAAAAGCTTCGATCAAATTCTCAAAACTTAACTCAATTGTACTTTGTATAATATGTATAGGTCCTTTTGAGCTTTTTGATACATGTGGAGGAGTATAGGTCTTTTTTTATTTTTTATTTTTTTCCAGCTGTATACGTGTGGCATTCCTTTTAGCCGTCTTTAATGAATTTATTATTACTAACTGAAAAAATTGGTTGTGTGAAATTTTACTTCGCTACATGTGTTTTAGGAAAAATAACATGGGTGTTTATGGAATAATATAATAAATATAACATAGGTTTGGCTCCAACGGTTCACCAAACTTGGCATCAAATTTGAAAATTGGTGAAAAAGTTACTGTTTGGAGTTCCAACGGTTTTATCAAATCGGTATCAAATCGAGAATTCACCAAACATTTCACCAAAGTGAGAACACGCCCAAATTTCAGCAAATTACTGTTTGTTACTGTTGGGGGAGAGGAACCGGTCGACCAGCCGATTGCCCGGCCGGTTGACCACTAAAAAGTTCAAACAGTTCAAATTTATAGGTTTAAACAATTCAAAAAAAAAAATTTGCCTTACCGGTCAACCAGCCGGTCGACCACTAAAGGGTTTAAACAGTTCAAAAAAAGGTTCAAACAATTTAAAATATATATATATATATATATATATATATATATATACCTTACCAGTCGACCAGCCGGTCGACCAACCGGTTGTCCCAGCGTAGATTTGATGAAAGTTCACCATTGGAGCCAGTAGTATCAAATTGAGAAAATCATCCTTTTTTTTCTCAAATTTAATGAAAAAAGAAATTTATCATTGGAGATGCTCTAAATAGTCGAATTCTTTTGTCCTTTCTAAAAACTGAAAATAAAAAGCATTCTGATGTTTCTCTTTATTTATTAGGAGCTTTTTAGAGTAGTGTCGATTAGCTTGTCATAGACTCATATGTACTTGGAGCTGATACTAGATCCTTGACTAGCCTTTATTTTTTTGTGGGTTTATGCTGATCAGTTGATACTTTCAATTTCTTTTAGTCTTTAGTCAAAGATAATGTGTCTAAAAGCCATTGTAATAACCATTGACTTCGCAGGATACGAATCCATTGCTACCTGTGAAAATGGTTGAACATCTCAAAAAGGGCATTGGAGCTTGGGGACAGGTTTCTTCCTTTGTCTCTTCCTTTGTAGTTATTTTCTCTTTTTCTTTCATCTTGTCTGGGGAGGGGATTGGGACTGGAGGTTAGGAATAGCTAACTGAAAAACATTAAACTAAGAAGATCTCTTTGGCCTGGGGACCTTAGATGTGGACATAAAAACCGCCTTCTATTTAAATCTTATGTGGAATGCTGTGCTGAGCGCTGGACTATTCTGATGCAGATGGTGCATGTTGAAAAAATTAGTGCCAGGGTTGCCTGCCATGTTGAAATCCCAAATGAACTGTCAGAGAAAATGAAATATGCTCTGAAATGTATTGGAATTACTAGGTTGTATAGCCACCAGGTATGGATGTTATCTTGAACTGCAATCCTTTTCTGAGCCAAAATTCTGAATGAACTTTAATTCTTCTGGTATCTGCAGGCAGAGTCTGTTCGGGCTTCCCTTGCTGGCAAGCATGTAGTTGTGGCATCAATGACATCCAGTGGGGAAATCTCTTTGCTACAATCAGCCAGTACTAGAAGTACTGTCCCAGAATTTGTTAGCGTGTGCTCTGTACCTCTTTCCGACAAAGGTTCACAGGAATAGATCTCATGCGTTAATTTTGTTGTATTATTCTTGGTGATGTGCCTTGGTTCTACTGAATAAAATTGAATTACAAAATGCGTTGTATTTTGATTTGGTGGAGAATGGCTTTTTTGTTGTCTGTTTTTGGCTTTTTATTCATTATTTATACTTCAAATTGTTCATTGGTGCAGGCTTTAGCACAAGATCAACTTAGAGCTTTGTTAGCTATGACAAAAGATTTTGATACTAGCTTAGATATTGGTATCTATGACGGTGACACTTCCCAGACAGACAGGATTTGGCTGCGTGATAATGCTAGACTGGTATTTTAGTAAGTTTTGGTTGTCTCAGACAGTCAGTTTTCCTTAAGCTGGCTGCCTTATGTCGTCATATCATACTGAAATTTTGTTAATTCATGTGCAGTTGATCACAAATCCAGATATGTTAAACATGTCCATCTTGCCATTCCATGGGCAGTTCAGACGGATTTTATCAAATCTTAGGTAATGTTTGTTTTACAGTGGTCTCTAGTTTTGCTTTGGAAGTGACTGAGATAATTCCTATTTGTAAACTTGTATTTTTCCGCAAAATGCTTTTCATTTATAGATAATATCATTATATTATTTCTTGATCACAATGTGACATACTTTTATTTTGTTATTTATTTGGTTTCCTTTCCCCTCTATTCTTATTAATCAGGTTTGTTGTCATTGATGAAGCCCATACGTATAAAGGAGCATTTGGATGTCATACTGCTCTTATATTGAGGAGACTTCGGCGGCTCTGTTTTCATGGTACTTTTTCCCTATATGGTTTGGAAAAGATATGGGTTTTTCCTTCCACTTAATTCTTCCTTTTTTATTTCTTGGAAAGCTCTTATTTTCTCAGCCTGCTTATTTGTGCAGTGTATGGTAGTGATCCTTCTTTTCACTTTTGTACTGCAACTTCTGCAAACCCCCGTGAACATGCTATGGTAAAACTTTGATTTATTTATTTATTTATTTTTTGGTGGTGGTGGTTGGGGGGTGGGGGGGAATGTCCATAATTTATTGTAGTTATTTGTAGGATGTCTTTTTTATGGTCATGGTCAACTTCAATGCCCATTCATGAATCCTGGTCTTTTGAGTAATTATTTACCATTTCTGCTTTCATTCCACAATTCATGTTCAAATTCTCATGGTGCTACCAATTTAATATTGGTTTCTACATGAAACACTTCAATAGTTGTATACATTATCTTTCTAACATTCAAATATGAGGTTTATGATGATTTCTCAGGAACCATTTTCAATTGCTTTAATCTCTGTGTGTGCGCGCTTATGTGTGCTTATTAACTGTAATATTTATCACATGCATTGACATCATATTGTTCATCTGAAACATATCTTTTTCCTATGGTTTAGGAACTTGCTAATCTACCAACAATGGAGTTGATTCAAAATGATGGTAGCCCTTCTGGTCAAAAGCTCTTTGTCCTCTGGAATCCTCCTTTATGTCCAAAAACTGTATATTTTTTTTGACACTATTCTGGTGCTATTTTTCGGAGTAGCTATTGTTCCAAGGGATGTTGCTTTATCTACTTGTGTGCACTTCTGGATTGTAGGTGTCACAACCCAAACCCGCTCCTAAGGGTTTAGCATCGTAACCGGCCAGTAATCTTTGGATTACCGAAGGCCTCTGAACATAATAATATATATAATAGGGGTTGCGGAAGTAAATATACAAAGTTACATAGTTCATAGAGCTGTGCAGACATATATGGGACAGAATATTTGAAACTTTTCATATACATGTTTGCATACATACATATAAGGCATTTAAATATAGTAGCCTTACATCATCCAAGCCACATATACAAGATTACTACATGTTCAGGCCAGACATAAACATTTCAGAAATACAAAAGTCCCATAGACAATAAACCCGGGTAGATCTCAAAAGGGAACCTCCACGGGAGGCGTGATAGCTGGCTAACACAAAAACTCACCAGGCGGTACCTCAGGCCTGGTCACGTGCCTGCTCACCTACATATATATAAATAATACAGTGAGATAGAACCTAGTGAATAATAACTAGGTATAGAGTTTTGATGAATGATGTCCAGTACAAAGTTAGATTTCAGAGTTTATATCACAACATATTCATGTCGGAAACAGAGTCATAAGCATATTCCAATTGTAAACCAGAGTTTAATTCGGATACACACTCATATTCATATTCAGACTTTCCATAGGATCATACGTGGTACACCCATTAGCCGTCATATCAACTTGGTCCTACGACCCACATGTATAGTTGGTACCGACGACCACAAAGGTCTATATCTTGTGCAAGTAGCCATGTATTGTTACCCTTAGGCAAAGGCCACGTGAATATAGGCCTCGGTATTGTTACCCCCGGGCAAGGGCCACGTGAATATAAGCCACAGTATTGTTACCCCTGGGCGAGGGCCACGTGCATATTGGCCACGGTATTGTTACCCTCGGGCGAGGGCCACGTGAGCTAAGGATGTCACAAATACATTTTAAAAAAATGGACATTCATTCATAATTCATAAAATAGTATTTCAGAAACAGATCGTATCATATTAGTCAGAAAATACTTGTAATTAAACATAACTTTACAGAGTTATTACTCACAGTTGGCTTTGGGTGCAGACAAACAGAGCAGATTAATCAAATGGTTTGAGGCACGCGACCTACACAAACCTACATACAAATTCACACTTGAATCACACGCTCAAATTATGCGTAACTTGCTTTATTTGTTTTGGGTGTGTTTTTAGTTTTTAACCTCATTATAGTGTCTTAAATATGGTCTAGGAATGCCTAGGATGGAAAGAGGATGCTACAATACACTTGAAAACATTTCTCAAATTTTTTGCTAAAAATGGGGTTCACGCTCGAGCGTGGCTTTCTACGCTCGAGCGGACATGTAGAAAGTGAAGGTTCGCTCGAGCGTGGATTTACTTGCTAGAGTAGACTGCAAACTTGACAAAAGTACTGGATATATGTTTTTCACGCTCGATCCCCGCTCGAGCGTGAGACTCAGACCCTCGCTCGAGCGTGACTTCCCTCGCTCGAGCGGACTGTAAAACACATGAACTTCTGGATACATGCATTTAATGCTCGAGCGTGACTCACGTCGCTTAAGCGGAAGTGCACGCACTCAGAGTGCTTGCTCCCCTCGAGCATGAAGTCCCCCGCTCGAGCGTGGATCAAATTTCTGGAATTTCCAGATTTGATTCACATGTTCAAATTCAACCTCCAAGACATCAAACTCAATTTTTCTAGGCCAAAACTTTAGAAAACTCATAGAGACTCATAAAACAACATGTTCCAAGGATTAATTCAAGAACCATAGCTCAAAAGCTTGCCATTTGTGCAAAATTTCAACTTGAGACTCAAGAATAATACATGAACATGTCTTGCATGCAATTCTTTGAACCAAAGCTTCTCAAAACATGATCAACTATGACAAAATGACATAGAACATGAAGGATTTCCAAAACAAAGCTAGGATCATGACATGCATGCAAGAATCCTTTGGAAAAACAACCTCAACTGCCATGAATTACATATATATGTATGTATTGAGCTTTAATTCTTCAATCTTAGCTTAATTGCACACCTAACTCTCTTGAATTCACATACTTATTATCATAAATACAAAGTTTAAGAGTATAGTTCTCACCTAAGGTTGAATTCAAGTGTGATTCTAACCCAAGGCCTCAAATTGTCTTCAATTTCCTAGCCAAATCTTTGTTTGAGCTCAATTTCCCTCTACTCTCCCTTTGTCACGTTTGTGTGTGTGTGAGCTCATGAGTGTGTGGGTTGAATGCAAGGAAATGAGTTAGTGGGGTCAAAAAGGCTCACTAAGTGATAGGTAAACAAAACTAATCAAATGGCATAAATTTAATCTAATTTAATCGTTCCAAATCAGATTTCAATTAAACTTACCATAAAATTCTAAAATTCTCAATTAACACATAAGTCAAGTCAATTTCTGAATTGGATGCCGATAAGGCCCTCAATTTGCAAACCGAAGCTAAAATATGAACAGATCTTTCTATGCTAAACAGATACAAACATAAATAATGCAACACACACTCATGCAAATTAATTCAGAATCCCTTCTTAATTATTGTTAGGCATAATTAATCATAGATTAGCGTTAATCGGAGTTCGAGGTTGTTACAGTAGGTCTCGAAGAGAACTACAAATGTCATAGATAAAAAGGAATCATTAGATAAAGATATTATTTTTAGACGCTCAAGGTAAGAAATCCTTATGTTTATTGTCATAGAAAATTATTGCACACACTGTCTTTCACGAAGTTATTTCTTGTCCTTCAGATGTTTGTAAACTAGTTGAAAAATCTAGAAATCCCCTAGATGTTGATTTGTGATTATGTATCAATTTTAAACAGTAAACAACAATCCCAATCAAACAATCAAGACAAATCGATACAACGATTTTACGTGAAAAAACCACAATTGGAGCACCTCCAATTGTGATAAAAAATCACGGGCAACAGCTACAAAACAATCCACTAAGAAGATATAAAGGAATTACACAGGTATACTCTCAATTACCTAGCGAATCCACGCCTGAATTGAACCAACCTCTATGTGTCTCTTCCAACCCCGTCTTTACCTCGGAATTGTCTTGACGATGAGCCACTCCAGAATCCACCAAAGCTTCATACTCGTATTCTTCAGAATCCACCGAAGAACAACTCTCTCTTTTGTATAGAATTAAACAAACAATCCTTTGATGTAAACTTCTAAAACCATGAGTTGAATACTCAATCAAAACTCCATATGTGCTTATCATGCTGGCTATATTGCTCAGGTCAGTATTTTTGTTCTTCATTTTTTGCGAACAATGATGATGGGTGATGTTGATGAATCATATAAGAAATGAAAAAACCCTTTGATTGGAGAGAAGTTTTGGTGCTTGTGTTACTATCATCTGATGTATGGCAGAAAAGTAATGCATTTCTTTGCTTCATTTTTCACAGTAGAATTTCAACGTCACCATGCTCGTAAAGCACTGATACTTTAGATATGGGAATGGACAATGGCTGAGGTGAACTTGTCCTTTTGTGGTCTTTATGTCAATAATTAGAGAAAATAATAAATAGTTTTGATTAAGGTATTTTTAATCTCCTAATTATTTTGTGAATCATGGTTTCATTGTCTGAAGTTTACTTTTTACCTCCTTGAGGCTCTTTAGTTATATATATTATTCCCTCTCATGCACTTATGTTTTTATTATTCTTTCTAGGTTTTGTTATGCTTTGAGCCTTCGGATAAAAAAATTAAAGTCCTTTGTAGAGTTCTCATTTTCTTCCTCATCCTCTTACATATCTCATTTATTATGTCAAAAGCCTAGTTTGGCTGATAGCCTAGTTTGTCATTCGAAAGTTAAAAAAACTGATGTTGATGTTTAATTCTGTGGACACAGATAAAACAATTGCCAGTATTACTGTGATTGACATTTTGTGCTGTTTAGTATTGTGCATATACACTTAACATATCTTTGTTATATTTTAATTTCTATGTATATTTCATAATTGGGTTGTTTTGAGCCTCTGCTGATGTCTGCACTATCACCAACAGCCTGTGGTTCTTTTTAATTTGCTCAATAATGTGCCTTGACATTACACGATTGATGGAGCAGGATAGGAGAAGAATTGAGAGTGAATTTTTTAGCAGGAATCTTTGTGGTTTTGCTGCAACTAATGCCTCAGAGTTGGGTATTGATGTTGGACATATTGATGCAACCCTGCATCTATGCTTTCCTGGTGGTATCGCTAGGTATAGAAGTAATGTAATTTGCTTTGTGTTATTAGTAAGGTAATTTTTTCTTTCAACTGTTCTTATATTTTCCTGTTTATTTAATGTTAGTCTGTGGGAGCAAGCTGGAAGGTCTAGGAGAAGGGAAAAGCCCTCACTTGCTGTATATGTTGCATTTGAAGGGCCTCTTGATCAGTATATTGTGAAGTTTCCCCAGAAACTCTTCAGAAGTTCCATCGAGTGTTGTCATGTTGATCCTAAAAATCAACAGGCATTTTTATTTCCAAAAGAAGTTTACATATAATTCAAAGTTACCCCTGAAGTAAAATTTCCCCAAAAATGAATGAGTTGGAGTAAATGTAATGGCATCAACGGTTTTTGCAAATATCTAAAATATGGTGGTGTGTTGGTTGCAGATCTTTCTTCCCTTTAGGAGCAAGCTACCTTCCATCTCTTCTAGTGGGGTTTTTGCATATAGTATGGTGGTGGTTTGGGGGTTTTGGGTAGAGAGATTAAAATAATGAGAGAAAATGAAAAAAAAAGCAAAAAATAATTATGGATGGTGAAGTGGTGGTGCATGGTGGTATTTGTGCTGTTGCACTGGAGGTCATGATGGCAGCGGTTTTGGTAATATGGTGGAGATGTGGAAGAACAAATGCCTAAACAATGGGATATTCTATTTGCACACCATTTGTGTTGTTCAGATATAAACTTCGGAACAAAATTCAAATGTTCGGGACATAAACTTCTGAACAAAAATGAATTGTTAAGATATCATTCTATTTGGATATAAACTTGTGAACTGTTTTTTGTTCACAAGTTTATGTCCAAACATTTGACTTTCGTTTGAAAGTTTATATCCGAATGGTATAAGTGATGTGTACTGTGGCGTGCAAATAGATAGTTGTTTTTTTTTTTTTTCTGTTAAATTATTGTCTATTATGGGTTCCGAGGTAGCAGGGGAACTTTCCTAATTTTTGGAGTCTTGTAGGTGCTTGAACAACACCTGGTTTGTGCTGCGGTTGAACACTCACTGAGCTTTCTTCACGATGAGATTTATTTTGGTCCTGGCATAAAGAATGCCATAATGGCACTTAAAAGTAAAGGATACTTGATTGCTGATCCCTCAAAAGATTCTCCTAACAGAATTTGGAGTTACATTGGGCATGAGGTATATTATTTGTATGAATAGTATAGGTCTGATCTCTCTGTTCTTATAGTTAATGAAATATCTGATCATGTATGAAATTCTTTAGCAGCTGTAAGTCACTAATTTCCCATCTTCCTTTTCTGTATTCTTGTTGGTAGAAAATGCCTTCTCATAATGTTAGTATACGAGCAATTGAAACTGAGAAGTACAAAGTAATTGTCAAGCAAAAGAATGAAGTCCTTGAAGAGATTGAGGAAAGCAAGGCTTTCTTTCAGGTAGAATGATTATGAGTTTTGATGGGAATTATTATATTGATATATGGCACTTCATATTTATGCATGATAAAGCTTCGACTTTTGCTGTTGTAGATCTTTGGAGTGTTTTTTCCTCAATGTCCGGAATGGATTTTACTCCCTAAGATTTCTTGAACATCTTTTCTAGCTTGCTCACCTTCAGCGCTGTAGGGTCTAACTCGCACTCAAAGGGTGAATCCGGTAAGTTGATCGGTGCTTTAGACAGCTGGGGTAAGATTGGGGGCGGAGCCGATCCTGTCGGAATGTTCGTATCTCCCTGGACATTTGGTGCCTCCTCGGGTGCTGGAACTCCTGGTGGGGGAGGGGCTTGGTGCGAAGCAGATGCTCCATTTTGCTGTTGCAGCCTGGTGATTAGCTCAGTCTGCTGGGCCATGATCGCAGCCTGCTATTTGGCAAATTCCATCTGGCGGGCAACGTCTTGCTGCATGAGTTTCATACTTTCTTGGAGTTGACGCATCATTTCCTCTATTCCAGCCATGTTCTGCTGTTCCGGCTGACTGACTGGTGGGGTGACTAAAAACTGATAAAAACTGAGGCCTCAGCCTGACTATTCACTGGTGGGGTGGATAAGGGCCACCAATTTGGTAACTGTTGAACCGGTAATTTGTGCCTAACTGGCCCCTTTTACCCTGCCTCTGGCGGAGGAGCACTGATTTGCCCCTGAACTGAATCTCTGACCTGACAAAGTCTATCAGCACAAGTCTGATGAACCTCGGGGGATATCAGAGCCTTCTGAAGCTAGGGTTCCAAGACTACCTAGCAAAAGAGAAAACATGCAGCATCTCAGCCTGATTTCACCTGAACAGATATGAGCATAGTTGAATGAGTGTGCTCTCTACTGAATTCTGCCCAAAATTCTGCCGGTGAACTGATACCCTCAGGTAAAACTGATTCCCAGATACTGATGCCCGCAGGCCTGATGCCCAAACTATTAAACTGGTGCCCGCAGGCCTGATGCCCAAACTTGTAGATTGATACATGTAACCCCTATAGAGACACACTCTGACAGCACATAACAGATAATTGAGAGCCAAAACACCCCTAAGTTAGGGTAGGGTTTTCCCTGTCCTATTTTGTCAGGAGCTAGGGTTTCACTACGCACGCAATGGTTTCAAACAACCTATAAATGGGTAAGCAACCTGTCCTAGTTTGGAATGGTCACTATGGATCCGAATATGCACTAGGTCGAATGGTCAAAAGGGTGCCCCGGTAAAACCGGGGTTTGTGTTCCCATACTGGCAGAGCCCACAACCGGTCAGCCTTATGGTCATGCCTTGACAAGACAAGCCTCCGGCAAACCGTTCGGGAATAGCAGATGGCAAACACGGTGTCCTAGGCGCACCAATGCAAATGCAATGCAAAGAAACACACAAGTGTAGCCAAAACCAGATATCATGAGTTCGAGTCAAGTTCTCTAATTCCCCAGCAGAGTCGCCAGAAACTGTAGACGTCCCCGAACGCCCCGGGAGGAACGAGTCCCCCGTTCCGTTCGATATTGGGCTCACTACAATTCGGACTCTCAATTGTCAGGGTTCTAAGTCTGAACCAAAGACTCCAAATCCGACAAATCGTTTTGAGAAAACAGATTTTTGAAAGAAGTGCCAAACATGGACTGCTTTGCCAGATACAAAGTCGCCACCTAAATGTTTATTTATTTGAAATTTAGGAAACCCTGACTCGGTGCCAAAAGGCCACGTGTCCGGTGTCCGTCATCACCAAAGTTGCCTTGGCTCGGGAACTTGGGTACGATTGGGGAAGGTCACTTCGTGAGCACTCCCGTTCGCCCGATCAAAGATCGGCCTCTACTAACCATGATATCTATTTTTGAAAACATTATGCGTTCTTATTCCGGTTATTAGCCTAGATTTACTATGTGATGCGCACAGCATACAAGTATAGACTGGATCGCCTGAATTGGAACAAAACATTTCATGTTTGTTTGTTTGAAAATGGTTTGATGGTGCTACCCGCAAGTGGGATAAGACGTGGATTTGCCACCCTCATGTGGGCTT